AGGTATCAGTCAGGCTCTGCAATGACAGTATTAGGGAGCCTAAGCCTTCTTTGGTGAACAGTCCAAGCAAAAATCCCTTCACAAGAAATTAGATAGACTATGCTCTTCAGGACACAGTAACTTCTTAGCAAGCACTCAGCTGACCTTCTAACACACAGGAGGGGTGATAGCCGCACTCAGTCGCTCAGATCTCTCACCATTGTCTGTACCAGTATCCTCAGATAACAGCGCCTCAGTCAGCTCTCAGTAACCCTAAGTAGCTTCAGGCCCTCCGCCCTCCCAGCTGGAATCTCCTCTTGGCAAGCACATGGCCATAGTGCCCAGGGAGGGCAAACAGCCCCCTAGGTTGTGCTCTTTCCCTCTGGAAGAAGACCCAGTTGCTCTCAGCTCCATGGTATTTATGCATTCTCCCAGAATCTTCTGAGCCAGGGTTCCCAGGGATTGGCTGTGGCTACATAGATATTAAGCTGCTGATTAAAATCTTCCTGTGTCTGTTACCTAGAGCTCCAGGTGAACAGGGGGAAGCAAACAATCATGCAGCCTCTGGAACACAGATGAGAGTAAAACAATCAAATGTAGCTCTACTGGCTACAGTGAGCCAGAGCTAAATGTACCTACACTACAAATTAAACAATTTACAGGCCATCAAAAAAAAGGTTGTTGCTTTAGATATACTTTATAAGACAAGGGTTAAAAATGTGCAGAAACCATCTGGTTGATAGTTACTTTAGTTTGCCATTTATCTTTGTTTTTACATTGCATTATTAGAAAATCATGTAAGCCTTGATTTAAGGTCTGTTGGGTCCATTAATGCAATCCTTCCCCTGAGCCCGGTTAATCCCCTGAACATCACGAGAAGAATGTCATGTACATCCATAATGTAAACATAAAGAAAAATGAATTCCACAATAGGATTCTGTTCTAAAAATAAGAAACATCATTTAGTTTTGGACTCTTTAAATGTGAAAAGTGATTGTTCTGGTCTTCCAATAGGATGGTAGACACAGAAATTTGTGCTCAGATTGGTAGATTTACTGTATTATCCTGAATTGCAGGGTAAATAAATAAATCAATGAAATTGCATTTAAAACTTCATACAATTTCTGCCTCTTATATACCTATTTAGACCTTAACATATGTCATTGTTGACCAATGGTACATCCTATGACCATTATCTCGATGTCTTATGATTAGTCAAACACCTTGATAATAATCAAAACATTTATCTTATGATCTTGATCTTGATTAACATGTCTACAACAATTGGGTCAAGAGGGCATCCTTCCTGGCCATTACTTATTTCCCTTACCTATTTCCTTTAGAATATCAAAAATACTGTATATCAAGAAATAGGGAACTTACAAGACAATTCAAACAATTAATTAAATGAAGAGCATAGCCAACAGTACAGTATATAGTTTTTTCTAATACATAGAAAATGTATTTTCAAAAATACATTGCGTCTCCCAGACAAAGAGCTTAGAACCTTTTTCACACAAACCATGTGTTTTTAGGTATATATTACATTAAGCAAATCTAAACCAGTCAGTAATTGAACATCAAATTAATGGTCATTTAGGTCTCATTTACAGTAGAAGTCAAATGACTTAAACAACAACAGCACCATGATTCTGTGGCAGGATACTATTTACAGTGAAGGAAATAAGTATTTCATCCCCTGCTGAATTTGAATGCTTTCCCACTCACAAAGATATGATCAGTCTAAAAATCGAATGGTAGGTGTATTGTAACACTGAGAGACAGAATAGCAACAAAAGATTCCAAAGAAATGCATGTTTAACAAGTTATGCACTGATTTGCATGTTCATGAGGGAAATAAGTATTTTATCCCCTATCATTCAGCAGGAATTCTGGCTACCAGGTGTCTTTCATACAGGTAATGAGCTGAGATTAGAAGCAAACTGTTAAAGGGAGTGTTGCTAATCTCATTTTGTTACCTGTATAAAAGACACCTGTCCATGGCAGCAATCAAACAAACAGCTTTCAAACTCTCCACCATGGCAAAGACCAAAGAGCTGTCCAAGGATGTCAGGGACTAGATTGTAGACCTACACAAGGCTGGATTGGGCTACCAAACTATCGCCAAGCAACTTGGTGAGAAGGTGACAACAGTTGATGCAATCATTCGCAAATGGAAGAAACACAAAACAAGTGTCAGTCTCCCTAGGTCTGGTGCACCATGCAAGATCTCACCTTGTGGAGTGTCAATGATCTTGAGAACAGCGAGGAATCATCCCAGAACTACATGCGAGAATCTTGTCAATGATCTCCAGGCAGCTGGGACCACAGTCACCAAGAAAACTATTGGTAACACACTACGCCGACAAGGATTGAAATCCTGCAGTGCCCGCAAGGTCCCTCTGCTCAAGAAAGCACATGTCCAGGCCCGTCTGAAGTTTGCCACTGAACATCTGAATGATGCAGTGGAGGACTGGTTGAAAGTGTTGTGGTCCTATTAGACCAAAATTGAGCTCTTTGGCATCAACTCCACTCGCTGAGTTTGAGGAGGAGGAATGATGCCTATGACCCCAAGAACACCATCCCAACTGTCAAACATGGTGGTGGAAACATTCTGCTTTGGGGGTGTTTTTCTGCCAAGGGGACAGGACAACTGCACCATATCAAAGGGACGATGGACGGGCAATGTACCGTCAAATCTTGGGTGAGAACCTTCTTCCCTCATCCAGGGCATTGAAAATGGGTTGTGGATGGGTGTTCCAGCATGACAATGACCCAAAACAGACGGCCAAGGCAACAAAGGAGTGGCTCAAGAAGAAGCACATTAAGGTCCCGAAGTGCCCTAGCCAGTCTCCATACCTTAATCCGATTGAAAATCTGTGGAGGGAGCTGCAAGTTCGAGTTGCCAAACATCAGCTACCAAACCTTAATGAATTGGAGAGGATCTGACAAGAAGAGTGGGCCAAAATCCCTCCTGAGATGTGGGCAAACCTTATGGCCAACTACAGGAAACATCTGACTTCTGATTGCCAACAAGGGATTTTAAGTCATGTTTTGTGAAGGGGATCAAATACTTATTTCCCTCATAAACATGCAAATCAGTGCATAATTTGTTAGACATGCATTTCTTTTGAATTTTTTGTTGCTATTCTGTCTCTCAGTGTTACAATACACCTACCATTCGATTTTTAGACTAATCATTTCTTTGTGAGTGGGCAAACATTCAAAATCAGCAGGGGATCAAATACTTATTTCATTCACTGTACATATATCTACCCTTATATATTATTATACCTTAAAGGATGAGATGTTAGGGAACTGAAACCTAATTCCACAGTAATCGCAAAAACATGTTGCTAAACAACCATAGAAATCTAAGCTAAAGAGGTGATATTACAATAGTGGCTTAAGGGAATTTTAGAGTAGAACTGTAGTGTTTTTAATGTTTTTTTTTTTTTAAATATACCTTTGAAAACAATGATATTCATGTAAATAATATTATCAGGAGGGACTAATGTGCCCAGGTTCCTACTTAGCAGTGCTACACAATTGCGTGCTTAACTAAACCACTTATCTCACTCCAAATGGCAGTCTGTTTAAAAGCATTAAGCCAGTCATGCATGGATTGAAATCCAGCCAGTTCAGCAGGGACCGTACGATTTCTGATGCATGTATGGACACCCTGGTTGTACACCAGTCAGTCGATAGATCGACTTGTATACAACCAGCCTGTTGGCTTTCTCCCAAATGATTAGTGCCACTGGCTATAGCCAACAAAATTAATCATTGTGTTCTGCCAGCAGGGAAGGCTCCCTGCCGGTAGAACACAATATAGTGCTGCAGTAGCGATTCCCCCATTAACACTGACTATGTTGATGGGGGAATCAAGCTATTTTCTTTCCTTCCACTTGTGTTTATGGTCTGCATTAGACTCTCTGCAGTTGCTTATAATGTGAAATACCCACTCTGGTAAGCAAAAACAGCGATAAGCAAATCAGTTTCAGTGAGTCAGGACTCACAGTGAATCCAATAGGTTTGTTAAAAGCCAGGGTTCAATGGGTTGAGTTGATTCTCTATACCAGTAAACTCAATTCACTAAAATGAAAGTGGTTCAGTTGGCCCAACCAAACCAAACAGGAAGTTTTCAGTCTTCCAACGTTCTCAGGGCAGTGATGTCACATGGGGGCATGCTGGGGAGGCAGGTGCAAATAAGCTTATAGTACTGGAAAGTGTTGCTTCGTACCACTTTTACAAAATGAATTCAATAATCACTTCCCATTCAACAATGGAGTGGATATTACAATATTTACTCATCTCTAGTGTGACTAATTAGACTTTAGCACTATGTTACACACGTTATCTTGCTACTGGAAAGTAGCCTAGCGGTAGCATCACTAAGGTGTAATTAGAGTTTTTCCCTAAAGGATGTCACTTACTCAGTGGCTGAAATGCTGCAGAACCCAACCAGGAAAGTAGTAACACAGCAATGTTTTGCTAGTTTAGCCAGGAAGAAAATCAGTTGTCTCTTAAAGATCCTGTTGCTGGAAAAGTGTTCCCAACAAGATTGTTGGTGAGACAAGTCAGTAAGGTGACAAGAGAGAGTTCGAGAGCAGCTGTTTTTGTTCTTAGAAAGTAATAGTTACTTTTTCACTCAAAGTAATAATGATTTGGTAATGCTGATATATGCCTTACAGTATGTATGTAGTATGTGAATTTTTAATAATAGAGCCACTTTTAATTGAGCAAGAAATTCTAGTTATTGTCTGCCTGTGCAATGCAATTATCTGTGACCTATTTTATTTTGTGGGTTATAAGAACTGAGAAAGCCAAGGTACTCTTTGCTCTATTACAAAAGGGAGTTTTTGTAAATAAGGGTGTTCCATTTTTCTCTGAAATTCTCTTTAAACTGAAATCCAGTGCTGCCTGTACAGACAGCTAAACATACACATAAAACTCATTCTACATAGCCTGTCATTTTTTTCTTTCTTTCAGGGTAATTATATTTTTCTCTGGTGAAAAAAATGAAGTTGGCTAGAGTTGTACTTTTATTGACTGTTATCTGGGGAATCAATGCTACTCCAGCCGGGCGTCTCTCATGCTACAAAAAGATTCTGAAAGATCGGAACTGTCATAACATTCCAGAGGGAGTACAGAACCTTTGGCCAATTAATACAAATCTCCAAGACCGCTTTTGGGAAGGAAAAGCATGTGATATGGTGTGCTACTGCAATTTTAATGAGCTGCTCTGCTGCCCAAGGTAAGATGTGCTGTGCATTATGTACAGTATTTTATTTTTCTTAAACATATTTTCTGTGTTTACTTTTTGATGTCTGCATGCACAGTCTGTCCCCTGTTGGACACAGTACATGTAGTAATTTGTCTCATGTTACTAGGGGCTTCCTAGCCCAAGCTGTGAGGTCTATTCTGCCATCTCTCCCCTCTTAATGCAACTAATCCAACAACAGCTAGGAAGGAGATGGCTGCAATGACAAGAGGAATGCAGAGGCTGGCATGTTCCACTTCCCTCTGCATTCTCTGGCAGCTGAAGTTCTTAGTCACCTGTTGTCCAGTTATTAAATTGACAATAAAGGAGCAGCATGGCATTAACAAAAACATTTCAGTAATGTAATCACAGTATTGTGGCTGACATGCACATAGATTACGGCATTTACTTTATATTAGCTGCATTCAGTTAATATATACAATTGTCACAGGAACAACAACTTTTTTTTTTGCTGTCCCTTTATCATTTGTACATGTCAGAAAATGTAGCTTTACTCACATGTTGCCTAGGCCTAGAAAAATATATTTAGGTTATTTCAACTTGAATAATTGGTCACACAAAGCCTGAAGCAAAATATTCCTTACCACAATTCAACAGTAATGACCTTGGTTATTATATACAGTGATGCAATGTAACATTTTATAAAATGCTCAAATAGGCTCCGTACTGCAGTTTGAAACATTCCCATTCTGTCACCATAGCTGCAGTTTAAATTAATGTCTTTTTACTGCTTGTAGAAAGCAATACACTGAAATACCTGTTGAAATGATTATTTCTGTTTGTGGGTGTGATAGCATGAAAAATAAAAAAACAGCTGAAAATGTTAAAGATAGTGATCATTATACTGCAACCAGCATATGCAAGTTCCATAATCTGATAAAAGTAATTTTTAGTAGCAGCTGACAACAGTCATGTAATATTAATCACGTCTTTACAGTTTTACATTTGTTAACCTAATTACCATTTTATACCCAACATTAAAATAGCTTTCGATATTGCATAGATATTCTAAACTGTGCTATTGCATATTAAACAAAAAGAGCTGGGCAGGTATAAAAAGTAACATTAACAAGACACTATGGGGGTTATTTACTAAAACTAAATAGTGCACAATCTGGTGTAGCTCTGCAGAGAAACCAGTCAGCTTCCAGATTTTATTGCCAAAGCTTAATTGAACAACTGAAGTTAGAAGCTTATTGGCTACCATGTACAGCTGCACCAAATTCTAAGTGCTCCAGTTTTAGTAAATCTATGTGCAGATACTGTTTTATATTTTATATATACACTATATATCTATATATATATATATACACTGTATATACACACACTATATTGCCAAAAGTATTGGGACACCCCTCCAAATCATTGGATTCAGGTGTTCCAATCACCACCATGGCCACAGGTGTATAAAAAAAAGCACCTAGGCATGCAGACTGCTCTACAAACATTTGTGAAAGAATGGGTCGCTGTCAGGAGCTCAGTGAATTCAACCGTGGTACCCCGATAGGTTGCCACCTGTGCAATAAGTCCATCCGTGAAATGTACTTGCTATCAAATATTCCATGGTCAACTGTTAGTGGTATTATAACAAAGTGGAAGAAACTGGGAACAACAGCAACTCGGCCACGAAGTGGTGGGCCACGTAAAATGACAGAGCAGGAGCCAATGCATGCTGAAGCGCACAGTGAGTAGAAGTCGCCAACTGTCTGTACAGTCAATAGCTAAAGACCTCCAAACTTTGTGTGGCCTTCAGATTAGCACAAAAACAGTGCATAGAGAGCTTCATGGAATGGGTTTTCATGGTCAAGCAGCTGCATCCACTGGACTCTAGAGCAGTGGAGATGTGTTCTCTAGAGTAATGAATTACACTTCTCTGTCTGGCAAGTATATGGTGTAGAAACCCTTGTTGGCACTCACAGAGCTAAGATTTTTCTTGTAGTTGGTTACCAGGTTTGCACACATCTCACTCTTCTTTACGGATCTTCTCTAAATCTTCTCTAGATCCTTAAGGTTTCTTGGCTGTTGCTTGGCAACTCGAAGTTTCAGCTCCCTCCATACATTTTTGATAGGATTAAGGTCTGGAGACTGGCTAGGCCACTCCATGACCTTAATGTGCTTCTTCACAAGCCACTCTTTTTTTGCCCTGGCGGTATGTTTTGAGTCATTGTTATGCTGGAAGACTCATCCACAACTCATCTGCAGTGTTCTGGCCTAGGTAAGAAGATTTCATCCAAGATTTTTACAATACATGGACCCGTCCATTGATCCCTCAATGCGGCAAAGTTGGCCTGTACCTTTAGCAGGGAAACAGCCCCAAAGCATAAGGTTTCCACCTCCATGCTTGACTGTAGGGATGGTGTTCTTAGGGTCATAGTCAGCATTTTTCTTCCTACAAACACGGCGAGTCAAATTAATGCCAAAAAGCTCAATTGTGGTCTCCTCTGACCACAACACTTTCTCCCATTCCTTCTCTGGATTATTTAGATATTCATTGGCAAACTTCAGACAGGCCTGGACATGTGCTTTCTTGAAGTTGGGGACCTTGGGGGCACTGCAAGATTTCAATCCACAGTGGCGTATTGTGTTACCAATGGTTTGTTTGGTGACTGTGCTCCCAACTCCTTTGAAATAATTCACAAGCTTCTCCAGTATAGTTCTGGCCTGATCCCCCATTTTTATGTATGATCATCCTTACCCCATGAGGTGAGCATGCATGGAGCTTCAGACCGAGGGTGATTGATGGTTATTTGGTTATTTTGTATTTCTTCCATTTGCGAATAATTGCTCCAACAGTTGTCTCCTTCTCACCAAGCTTCTTGCTGATGGTCTTGTAGCCAGCTCCAGCTTTGTGCAGGTCTAAAATCTTGTCCCTGATGTCAATTGACAGCTCTTTGGTCTTGCTCAATGATGGTGAGGTTTGAATGGAAGAAAGAAATTCTGTGGAGAGGTGTCATTTATATACAAAATGAGTTGTCATTAAGAGCACCTTCTTACATAGACAGGACTAATCTGTATACCACATGAGCACATAGCTAGTCTGTGGGAGCCAGAATTATTGTTGGTTGGAAGGGGACCAAATACTTATTTTACTCACTGAACTGCAACTCTTAATTTCTTTGTAAGTGGACAAACGTACAAAATCTGCAGGGGATCAAATAATAATTTTCCCCAGTGTATATATATATATATATATTATATATATATATATATATATATATATATATGCACTGCTCAAAAATTAAAGGAACACTTTTTAATCAGAGTATAGCATCAAGTCAATGAAACTCCTGGGATATTGATCTGGTCAGTTAAGTAGCAGAGGGGGTTGTTAACAGCAGGTGCACTAGATGGGCATAAATGAGTCAACCCCCAAAACAAGACTGGTTTTACAGGTTGAGGCCACTGATATTTTTTTCCCTACTCATCTTTTCTGACTGTTTTCACTAGCTTTGCATTTGGCTTGGGTCAGTGTCACTACTGGTAGCATAAGGTGATACCTGGACCCTACAGAGGTTGCACAGGCAGTCCAACTCCTCCAGGATGGCACATCAATACGTGTCATTGCCAGAAGGTTTGCTGTGTTTCCCAGTCTCAAGAACATGGAGGAGATTCCAAGGGATAGGCAGTTACTCTAGGACAGCTGGACAGGGCCATAGAAGGTCCTTAACTCATCAGCAGGACCGGTATCTGCTCCTTTGTGCAAGGAGGAACAGGATTTCCCACCAGACAATTGCCCTAGTTCTTCAGTAAACAAATTTATTTGGTGAGATAACAGACCTCGCTTTGGTAAATCCTTGGTGTACAGACCCCAATCCCGGGGGGGATAGCGTTGCCTAGCCCTTTGGCACTATTATTTAGAGGCCAGGCTTGCCCAAATGGCACAATGGCATACTTCTCCAATACAGAAACCCTGGCTTAGCTTTGAAATCTCTTTGATACACCCATACTATCTCCCAGGAATATTATTGTCAGACAAAATACACCCTAGAGATTTAACCTTCCTAAATGGAGCAGTATGTCAGTCTCTACATTTATGGGCATTAGACAGGCAGAAGTATAGACTGTGCTCTAACCCCCTATTAAGGTCTTTTCCTGGGGTAACCAGGATTCCCTCCCTGGGGTAACCAGGATTCCCTCCAGCCTTTCTAGCTACGACTGACTTTTCTAGGTGGTGGGGAGTGAGCTCACCACCCTTTATGCAAGAGTCTTTTTTTGCTCCTTTTCTTTCCTTCAACAACAATGTGGCTTACCACAATTTGAAATTTATAAGTTTTTACAGATCAGACATTTCTATACATCCCAATACCCACTTCACAGTTGTATACTCTGATTTTGATTGGACCTGTCACCATTCCCCTGGAGATAAAGGCACAGATCCAATATATTTGTTTACCTAAATTGCTTATATTTCCCTGACAAGTTTAAGTCCATGGTTCGGTGCAAAAACTGAGATAGGTCAGGTTTTCTCCTCAGAGGAATGGCTTGACATACATAAATGTACACATTCTACTGCAATAAATGAGACTGTGGTGAAGTTCCATATGAGGTGGTATCTTACTCCTGCTAAACTACATAGGATATTTTCAAACATTCCTGAGACCTGCTTTAGGGGCTGTCTGGACAGAGGTACGTTTCACCATATTTTTTGGAGTTGTAAGGCGCTTAAACTGCTTTGGCAAAAGGCGGCCATTAAGGTAGTCCAGATCACATGGATTCAATTGACACTGACTTTACTGATGTGCTTATTCTGTGTACCTTTACCACTATCTCCTAATCAAAATCTAGCCCATACTCTCTTCAGTGCTATACAATGGGTTATTGCCCTCAATTGGCACTTCTCTATGTTCTCCTGGTCTCAAGTGCTACAGATAATGGAAACTATAAGTTTAATGGAGAGAACTGACCAAACTATTATGGATACCATGCATATCTTTGAACGTAAATGGGAGATGTGGTCTTCTTATTGAATTACTACTAATAGATGCATCCTACTGTGATTGGTTTGGTCATTACAACTTCTTTATGTACTGAGAACCCTATACCTGTACCTCATGCTTTACCACCAGTTTGACTCAATTGCTTCTACTGACATGTCCCAGTTGGGGCATGGTATTTTGTTTCTTTTAACTTGGTTCACTTATACTGTATACCGACGTGATTGATCCATGCTCAAGTTATATATCAGATATCCCCCATGATGCTTTTTGTTTTGATTGTAATGCTGCTTTGAATCCTAATAAACAGCATTTGTATTCAAAACAATAAATCAATGTTTAATAAACACAAAATTTAACTGTAAAAAACACTAAATTTCCAAACAAAACTGTACAACATCCAAAACATTATGTGGTTAAATTTTTAAATTCCTCCATCAAAGATAGTAGTAATAGTAAAAATAATGTCCATTGTCTACGCATGATGTACATAGTAAATGCTACAGATTGATTTGCACTAGTACAGTGTAAAACTGACCAGCAGCAGAACATTTTTAAAGTAGTACTAAATGTTAGACATTTTTTTTCCGTAATGCATTAGGGAAAAAATGCACCAGCAGCTTTCTATGCACCCCTGTCCCCAAATGTCTACCTGAAGGTTCCTTGTCACTGTTGCAGGATCAATCCATACCTTTACCCAAACTGTAGGGTTGCAGAGGATGATACTATGGGCAGCTGGTGTGATAGGCTTCTGCTGATGTCAATTACATTTCTGGGAGGAGGAGGAAGCAGGGGTGTGGCTTTTCTATGGACACACACAGCTCAGCTCAATCCCAGACTGGAGCATGCATGCATGGATATCTCCTTCACAGCCTACTAAGTAAAGGAAAGACCCACAAGGGGAACTAGTAGTTTGGGGACTGGACAACAAGAAGGAAAGGTAGAGTTTTAAAGAAGACCAATCATCTTGCGTATGTGTGGGTCTTCATTTCTGAATTAAAAAAAAATAAGGGTCTAAAGTGTCACTAAACCCACATCATAAAAAAACTATTAATAAATGCTGTATTACATGCTGTTCATACTCACTCAGTCACTGTGGGATTTGTTTTCTGAATTCTACATAAAACTTGGTTGATTTTGCTGTTCTCTATCTCCACCTTCTGTTAATGTCCCCAATTCAGCTAGAGATTTTGCAGCTGTGCTGGCAACTCTGTGCATGTTTAGTTTTTTGTGGGTTTCTATGCTGAGCATTTCCTCCTTATCACATCTGAGTAGCCCATGTGACTATAGAGTCACACATGTGGGAGTATATACAGTGGTAAATGACAGCCCACTGTCTTCCCCTCCATGTCCACTAACCAGCTAAAAACAATGGGGGCCGGATATTCCATGTAGATTGATGGAGGCTTCACCTCCCTCTTATTCTAATACACAGGCTGGAGGGGCGTGACACAGCCTGTGAGTGGCAAAAAACTCCACCCACACCATGCTATTGCCAAAAAATAATAAAGATTTGATTTCAAATATATATTTGTATGGTAAAACATGTCATCGCAGGGAGACACAGGAAACAATTGTTTCCTATGTGTCCCATTCACACTGTAATGCAGCCTTGAAGTGTGCTGTGGTAAAATGCAGACATGCCGCATTTTATCACAGCACACTGGGCCAAATGGCACTGCAATCGTGCTTCCTGATATTGTAGTGAATGAGTTTTGAACACTTCACATAAAGTTTGTTGAAAACAAAAAAAAAGTGGGGGGGGATGTGATGTGCTGAATAGCACATCACACTGCCCCCTAGCGCAGCTCGCAATGCAGAATGGCCAGAGTGGTGAATTGCCCCTGCCGTCCTGTGTTGCAGTGAGAATTTG